AGCACGTCAATACTTGTAATAGACAGGTACGGAAGGTAAAGATAGAACATGGCCTGTTGCGCCTGATATTAAGTCGGACACCAGTGACGTCATATCGTCAGCTTGTGCGTTATGCCGTATAGGGGCTTGAAATGAGCCCGTAAAAACTCTTGACCAGTGACATTACACACTCAGGAGAGTCGACAGAGCCTTCATTCAGCACGCCAATACTTGCAATAGACAGGAGTGTTTGCCCGCGGCAGTAATCGGCCGAGCGATACATATTGCATTTATTCTCTGAGCACGTTGGAAATAATGTCAACATTATTCAATATTTCAGCATCATTCAACTCGGTGAATTAATGATTTCTGACAATGATATATGCTTACGGCCACCCATTAAATAATGAAATGTACATGGATGTTGACGTACCTATTACTATCGTAGAAGCATGTAGTCATATACATATATATATATATATATATATATATATATATGTGTGTGTGTGCATATATATACATATACATATATATGTATATATACATATATGTATATATCTGGGTAGTGTTATTTTTCACGACAGACAGACGAATCTCGCAGAACTTGCACGCTTGCTTTGCTGTGCGCTGGTGCGATATGGGTTGGAGTATTGTAGGTGATCAGTAGAAATGGTGTTCTCGTATTGCTCTGGATCTAACACGGATTATACGCCTCTGTATGCCCCATCACACATCACGCTAATGATCTTTGCAATGTTGTTGTCAATCGACTAACCTGATCTCTGCTGCCGTTGCATGGAAAGTCAAAGGGCGCTGAAAAGTCAAATGCTCCATAATGACAGTCCAACCATGAACATGAGCTATCAGCACCATAAAAGCGTATTAACAGTACACAACGAGCAATACCACATACTTGGCGATTCGTCAGACCCCAGCCGTACAGCCATTCTCGTCATTCCGATGCTCGGTTGTGCATAGGCTATTAGACACATGATGGGTCATCTGAACTCGAAATTACCTACCACAAATCAAATCAAGGTTAAGAACTTCATTCAAGGCTGGTTAACAATGCACGCTTCACCGCCTCAATGCGTAACTAGTCATTTTTCGTCATTCGTCATTTGCCTCCATGCGTGTACTGAGTCCCTGTACGCTAGTTTTTCCGTGTGGATCTGATTGTGTACAATCTGGGTCTATGGCTGGAAATCCCCTTTACATATTCCGCAGTGTTATTTCTACGTTTTACATAACTGGTGCCTCTGGCACGAGACGTGCGTGCACTGGCCTATGGTGTCTCTGCCCTCTCCCCACCCAGTCTCTAAGCGCACGCCTCCTCAAAATTAACGGACACGCACCATTCGCTCCCTCTCTCGTGGCGCATCATGTTTAATGCCGACAGTGTCAAAATACTCTGGCATTTGACGGGGTGTTGCCACATGCGGTCCGCTGCTAGACGCCTAACGCCTACTCTATCGCGCATCATACTTCAGGAGGATTCGCAATAAGCACCACAAAACTGTTCTCTGCTGCCCTTGCCCTGAGCACACCTCCATTACTAAAGACTTCGTAAAACAGTGGAGCGAACTGTACTTTTGCAAAACTTTTGCATGTTTCACCAACGGTCACATATGACACGTTGAAACGAAGTACACATCCCAACGAGCACACAAGAGAAGCAGAGCTGACAGTAGAGTTGGCCGGTGATAGGTATGAGCAGACTATACCATTCGGCCGTCAGCATTATCTGCCGATTTCAAGCGTGTCAGTTCAGTTTCCATCAGTAAAATCGGTAGCCGACACTTTCCAAAAACTACCTAAATGACAATTCATATATTCTTGTTGGCGGGCTATTCCCGGGGACCAGCGCTGCTAACTGGGCAAATAGGAGCAGCGTGCCATGTGCCCAGTTATCCGACGTAATACCTAACAAGTCCACTTCCGGCTGGTAGCGCCCGTCGCCAAATCACCATTTTGAACCAATACTGATTTCCATTACGACCGCCTGCCATGAAATGTCTAATTTGACTACATGACCAAACTTTGCTGCATTTAGAAAGTACTGGAGATCCCAATGATTCGTGAATAAACTTCCATTGAAATATGTCCACTCGATGTTACCAATAGTGACCGTTAGTGATAGACAGAAGCGGACTCGACGCCTCGGCCGCTACCATTGTCTGGCCATTTCAAACGTGCCAGCGTAGTTTAAATCGATGCTATCACTAGCAACATCATTTTAAAACTATGCATACAATTCCGCTATCATCATGGAGACAGTGGACCCATCCTTCATGAACAAAATATCATTCGGGTGCACCCACTCGGAGTTACCAATAGGGCCGATGCTAGGCGTAAAGCGAACTCTACGTTTCGGCCGCCAGTATCATTTGTCCATTTCAAACGTGTCAATATAGCTTCCATCGGTGCAACGACTAGCTGACATCATTCTAAAGCTGTTTAAAAAGGGCATCTCAAATATTCTAGCCTCGGTTAGCTTTTCACGGACAGCACCACGGCCTACTGGGCACATAGCCAGGGCTTGCGTTCAGGCCTAAACAATACCCACACGCCTGCGAGCGAGAAACACGATGTGCATGCGGCTAAATGTGTATACCATGAAAGGTACGTTTACCTGAAGAATCAAGTCCAACGTTCACGTATGACAGGCGGAAAAGCAGCATACATCCCAACGAGCGCACCAGAGACGCAGAGTTAACAATAGGGCCGGTGATATGCGTGGGCGGACTCTTTACGTTTCGGCCGCCAGTATCATTTGTCCATTTCAAAAGTGTCAGTATAGTTTCCATTGGTGCAACGACAAGTGGACATCATTATAAAGCTGTTCAAAAAGCATCTGAAATATTCTAGATCCGGGAAGCTTTTCACTGGCGGTACCACGGCCTCCAGGGCACATAACCAGAGCGCGCTTTAAGGCCCACGCATTACCCACACGAGCTTTCGAGCGTGAGCATGGTGTGCATGCGGCTAAATGTATATACAATGAAGGTATTTTTACCTGAAAAATCAAGTCCAACGATCGCACATGACACGTGGAAAAGCGTACTTATCCCAACCGGCACACGATGCAACAAGAGTTACCAATAGAGCCGGTGATAGGCTTAAAATACAGCTCTACGTATCGGCCGACAGCATGATCTGTCCATATCAAACACTTTCCTAAAATGGTGTTGCTGATAGTTGCATCGATTGAAAGTAAATTGACACGTTTGAAATGGGTGTATAACGCTGACGGCCGAAAGGTAAAAATTACGATTATGCGCATCAATGGCCATACTACTGAATCGAAGTGGACTCACCTAAAAGGCATTTTGTTCAGGAATAATTTCGAACACTTCGCAGTCGTTTCCAAACGCAGCAAAGCAACGCCACGCATTGCAATTGAAGAGTTCATAGCAGACGGCCGGAAGGTAAATTAAAGAGTTGGGCTGCAAATGTAATACAAAATCTGGCGTTGGCACCCGAAACATAGACGGAGGAACGTCTCAGAAAGTAAGGAAGCTCATGGTCATATTGTAGTCGATTCTTCCCATCCATTGTCATAACGTTAATGCTCTACATACATTCTCAGACAGTGTCTAATGGTGAGGGTGCCATAACACTCACGGTACCCGCGTTTCAAGTCTAGGAGAAACCATTGCCGTCTAAACCGTGTCAAAATGGTGTCCACCAGTGGTTGCACCGATGGACACTATTTTGGAATGTTTTTTAAAGACCGATGATGCCGGTAGCCGAAAACGTTGAGCCAGTTCATGTCTTTTTCCGGCCCCATTGGCAGCCCAGTGTGGACATGCCTGAATGCGGTTTGTTCATGGATTACTTGGACCTTCTTGCAGTAATTTCTTGAGGAATCCTGCTGGGAGAGGTGGCTTTCTGCCATTATCAGCTTCCACAGTGATACGAAACGAAGACCATACCTCGTGTTACGTGACGTCACGAGCAGAAGGTAAAACGCAGCTTATTTTTCTTCATTTATTTTTCAAATGGCACAAGAATGTAAACCACGAGTACGTAGGTAGATGCACGTACACCAGAACAGTCTCCCGGAACGACGTGAGCAGCGGGAAAATACAGCCCGAAAAACGTGTCCCACTGATAGTTTTCAACTGATGACCGATTCATTCGTAGCAGTGACGCCATCAGTGGGATGAAGGACACGTGTTATTACGAATACCTGCTTGGTTTTCAATGTTGCCATCATAAGTGGCTTGTAAATCCTTGTGATATTGTGAGAAGTAAAAGAAGTTCGTTTTTACACTTCTACGAGTGACGTCATGACTAGAAACAAACTTGTCATTGAGATGACTTAACCAGCCTGGCAGCGACGTTTCGTCAGCTGATTAGCCGGCTCTCATTACAGACCTAAGCCGACGCCCTTCCCTCCGCAAACATTGTCGGCCGGAAGGTAAAGAACACTGTTCCAGGCACCTCGGTGCTTCCTGTGTCTAAACCATCTCGAAGACCAGGTTCTGGGTCAGTGTTGTCTTTTTGGGTTGGATTTTGAAAGTTAGTTTACTTTTTGAACAAGAATATTGAAATTTGTTATACAAAAATTGTACTAAAACTGCATTGAGTAATGGCATAAAGATGATTAAATTTGCAATAATGACTGATATTGACATTGTCTTGTAATGACCATATCATGCCAAACACAAAGACCTTTGTGAGACCTACAGGAACTTAAAATTAAAAGACTACAGGAAAGGCTTAAATGACTTAAGGGACTAATAGCCTGGAATCTGTCTAATTAGCAGAATTGCACATTTTCATGTAGTATTGTATAAACAATGCTGTATAAAACATTAATGCAGCTTGTTTGCTCCTATGTGTTAAAGCCAGAACAGAGTTACCAAGAAGTCCCCCACCTTAGTCGTTGCAGTCATCGTCATAGGTATGAACTCCACATCTGCAGTCTATTACAATTTCCATTTCACACTGTGCTATGTTCCAGATGATCGGCAACAAGCAAGAAGCTGGTGGTATCCAGCAGCATGTATATGATTCTGCGACGTGCGATGCGAAAGGCCGGCCTACCAACAGTCAAGCGTACCATCCTGCACCTTGCTAAAGGATAACCATTGGTTTGTTCAGGCAGCAGAGTGCTGTTCAGACTACACAACCTTGTACCGTGCAGCGTGCACACAGCTTCAGGAGCACTGCTTGTTTGTACTGCACTTGGATGTGATTGTTTTACAACATTGTCTAAGCCTATAAGGAAAGGGTTATCACCCATTTTTCTGTGCAGATTTTCTCGTATCTCAAAGATCTTTATAGTACGATGTGAGTTGTTCCAAACATGTTCCAAAACATGTTCCAAACATGTTCCAAACACACCTTACTACCTTACTGGATGTTTGAATTAAACTAGACATCAGCAATTAATTCCGAGCCTGTGAACGGTGTTTGCCATCTGCATGATTGTCGTGAGTGCAAAATAAATACGCATCTTTCAATCATGTTCATCCTGTGGTTCCCCTGTTTTGCGTTTTTAAGCAGTGCTTCATTTCACTACAGGTACCTGAGGGAACCTGGTGGTGGCGATGGCGATAGAGGACACGCCGGAGGCGACAATGTGGGTGGCGATGGCGACACGGGTGACAATGCGCACTTGGCCATGCCGAGTACATCACGGACGTTTCATTCGCCGATGTTAGTGATGTCTTCTAATGATGTGCATAGTATACCTTTATTAAGAACAATTGATAACATAACCGTAACAATTTCTGTTGTGATACAGGCCTCCCGGCGCCGGGTCATGTGACCTGTCAGATCAATTGACGGATCACCAGCTGACTCGTGCCCAAACCCGCGGGGCAGTGATAATCCGGTCGCTCGCGCGTGCGCGCGTCGCTGTCATGGGGTAATGTACGAGCCGAGCTAAGAGCCTGCAAGTGAGACCAAAACAGCTTCAACACTGTTGATTTCATGCCAGCGCCAATGCTAGTTAACGGCAGTGATAGGTATTCCGCTTGTCATTAAGGCTCGGTAACTTTCTTCGCGGGCTGTGATCAGCCTCCTCTAATAACGCATATGGTCTTCATAAGCTGAAGCCTTAAGCTAAAGCCGAGTCGAACCGTGCTGTTTCCACCGCTCGTTATTTTTTGCTTGCAGAACCTCACAGACTACCAGGGAGCCAGCCGACGTTGCATGGACCCCGAGCGCCTTGACACCCGGCGGCAGCCAGGGCTCGGCGCCGACTCCCGACCATGCAACCACTTTGGACGCAGCTGTGGAGCTCGAACAGATGTACGATGACGAGATTAGTGGTGAACTTGCACTACGTCATGTCACTCAGCTTGACGCGTGAATGTATTGTTTGGCCACAGTATGATAATGTTGTAGATGCATGTAGAAGTCCCTTCTTCGTTCCATATTGTTTGGCTGTGGTATGAGAAGATTTTAACGTATGTCATGCGTATTACCCTACCATGGTCTTTCATCAGGTGCTTCCTCTTTGGTGTTCTCGCTTTTGTGGCTCTAAAGCATACATTCCCAAATTTGAAGAGTGCCGTGACCTCGCCAGGTATGGGTCCTGCTGGTGCTCTTGTTTTAGTGCGGACCTGTTTTCAGCGATGCTTACATGGAGGTGGAAACCGCGGGGGAAGAAGACGTGAACGTCGGAGCGACGGCGGAGTACGACTGTCATTGGGGCACCCGCAGTGCTCTCGTCTCCGAGTCCCAGCTGAGGAAGATGGCCGAGGCCGCCGTGGTGCTCTGCACCCGTTGCGGTGCTAGGTGCGACGTGAATGTTACTCGTATCACCGTATCGTTCACGGTCACATGGGTGAGTCTCAGTTGGGGATGCTGTCAGAACTGCATATTGATATCATTGACCAGAAAAAAACCTTGAAAATAACTGTTGTATGCTTCTTTTTGTTGTTTTCTAGTAATGTTGCATAGTGTGCTAATTTGTTGCAAGCTGTGCTTGACGTCATTGACTTAAATACTGCATTTAACATCACTCACGCGTAACTAGCTGCACGCAATTTAATTTGTGGTTTTCACCATTTCTTAGTACCCTTCGTCTTTTTAGTTCCGTCTTCGTCAAATCAATGCCCAGCTATGCTTGAAACTACATTGGTGTAAACCATAGCATGATCGGTGCTGTAAGTGTTGGCTGCCAGAGGCCTGTCGTATCTGCAATGTCCGAGTTATGACGTCACGCTGCCACTCGTGCAGAGATACATGCTGTTTTCGTGACAGGCTGGCCTTTCAGTCCTCCGGTTATCTCCCTCAGGAATGCAAAGCATGTGCCACTGTCACCAATAAGTGGGTGTCAACGCCGAAGGAAGGCCACACAATGGTCATAGACACCCTACTTGCTGCGGCCGTCGTACTCAGCGGCAGTCATCTGGGAAAGCTGAACAAGATATTAGCCCTCGCCAACATAGGGCAGCTCAGTCAGACTGCGCACAGCCGTATCACACAAAGGGTGGTAGCACCAGTGATTGAGGAGGCGTTCAACAAGACTCTAACCGAAAACCGAGAGGCGGCTCTCGCGGCATCACCTGATGGTCTTGTCGTTGCTGGTAGGTCCCCATGACTGACGTTAACCCCAATGTATGTGTCTCTGTATTGGGTGCACCCTGTCAGGCCCACCTTGCTTCGATCTGGCACTATGTGGCGCGTCCATGATTTTCTACACGTCGTTTTACGTTTGTTCTGATCACGGCACCCGCACCCAGTACGCTATCCAGTGCGGGAAACCGACGAACGCTCGCTCTGTGCAGCTGACATTTGTCATGACTCGTTCAGTATCCGAAACTGCCCATCCCGCCTGGTAGGACGTTTGACTTCCAGAGTTCGCCCGCGCTGCACCACGGAAGTGTGGGTTGGGTGGCGCGCCTGCCTGCGAGGGCGGCTGTTTACGCACCGCTGCTGGGCCACGCTCCCGGAGCAGGCGCGACCCGACCTGCCGCACCGCTGCACGGGCTACGGCCGGCCATTCTTCACTGGCAACGGGCTTCGCAACCGCCGGGTCCGGTGCCAGGGGGACGGCGACCGCCGCCCTGTACAAAACGGCTCTGGGGATCGCCGCGTAACGCCTGCCGCCGACTCGCCACCCGGCCCCTCCGCAGCCGAGTTTGTGACGTCCCGCTTTGCACTGCGCGCCGGCCGCCGGCGGGCGCGCGGGACAGGCTGTCGGCCTGGCTGTCGCCGGCCGTGCCTGAGACGTCGCCGTGGCACCTGGACGTGCCGCCGCTGATGCCCGCCTCTACCGCCCCGCCTGCTGCGTTCGACGGGCCGTGGGCGGATGACTCGACGCTGCCGGTGCTCGGCCCCATCCCAGCGGCCAGGTCCTCACCGGCGTTGACCCGCGGCACCACTGTGTCGCCGGCGCCCTCAATGCTGCCGGCCCTGCTGTCGCCCGCGCTTGTCGGCGCGGCGGTTCAAGGTGCGGTGTCGCCAGCGCCGGAGAGTGCCGCGTCGCTGAGTGGCGGGGTGCCGCGGCCGGCCGGCCGGCCGGTGGCTGTCTCCAGTGCTCCCCCCGTGCCGACCGCGCCAGTGCTTTTTCAGTGCCGACCACCGCCAGTGCTCCTCCAGTGCCGACCGCCGCCGAAGCGGTCTCGTTGCCGCCTCCCGTCGCCGCGTCGCCCGGCACCGTGTTGCCGCCGTGTCACGGTACAAAACTTATCTGCTTGCAGCACTGCTATCTGCTTACTACCTGCTTCCGACGATCACCTAAGTGATAGTAACAAACCGCTCAGAAAAAGTCAAGGTAGCAAAACCATCTCATGTGATGACAAAGATCATACTGATGTGAAAGATGGTGCTGCCTCAGATGACTGCCATAATGACAGCCCTGGCTTCTCGGCGTCACATGGGTGCTACACCATAATGACAGCCCTGGCTTCTCGGCGTCACATGGGTGCTACACCATAATGACAGCCCTGGCTTCTCGGCGTCACATGGGTGCTACACCATAATGACAGCCCTGGCTTCTCGGCGTCACATGGGTGCTACACCATAATGACAGCCCTGGCTTCTCGGCGTCACATGGGTGCTACACCATAATGACAGCCCTGGCTTCTCGGCGTCACATGGGTGTTACACCATAATGACAGCCCTGGCTTCTCGGCGTCACATGGGTGCTACACCATAATGACAGCCCTGGCTTCTCGGCGTCACATGGGTGTTACACCATAATGGACCACACAACTGGCCACATCATGGCGCAGGTATGGCAGTGAGCATTTCGTAATTATTTCTTCGAGAATGTTTGTCCGGTGAGCACTGACGACTTGCCAATCGAATTCGGGTTTTATGTTGTTGTGATGGGTTAAACTGCAATCAGAAGCTGCATAGGGCGCCTTTGGTATACATTACTTGAGAATGGTACATCAATGCAGTCATTTCTTGACATCTGAGTGACAAATATCCATTTTTGATGTGTATTCTGGTGAGAATTTTGCTTATAATTATCCACCGTAAACCATTTGTGTAGTCGTTGCATGGCCAATCGTAGTTGACGCATCGCACGCACGCAAAAGCTGCAAATCGTCGTCGACTTCCAGCATTTCCATTTGTGTTGCGAATACTGAGCCATTTCCAAACGTGCATGCACACAGAACACTGTGCGCCGTGAGGAGGTCGGCTTCTCCAGCCCGAAACTGGAGGTGGAAGGCCTCTCACGCTGCCTTAGCGGCCTCGAGGGACTGCCCATCAAGGAGTTCATCTCTGATCAGCACTTGGGTGTCGGGAAGCTTGTCAGTAAGTCGAACACAATGGTGGCGGTTGTGATAACTTATCAGTCAGACTTGCTTCATAGCCTGTCACTGGTTGCTGTGCTTCCTTGGGTCCTCTGTGTTTTCTCCTGTGTTTCCTATTTTCTATATCAGTCCTGTGCGTTGCACAAAACGCCGTGTGGCCATATTGGTAATCACGGCATTCGATGTTTATAACCGGGCATTTAGCATCCCGGGTGCACTTTTCCCGCCAAAACATTTTTGCCCCACTCCCCATGAGCTCAAATAAACAGTCCCTCACACTTAAATAGCTGTCTGGTATCGGATTGTTGGCATGGTGATCGAAGTCTTAATGCCACCATCACCTCCGTCACTACAGGACAACGTCTACCAGAAGTGCAGCACTCGTATGACATCTGGCACGTTGCAAAGAACGTGGCGAAGCGCCTGCGCCAACATGCAGCAAGGGCTCCAAACTGGGCGCTGGGACATTGGGTGCGCCACGTCAAAAATCACTCCTGGTGGTGCGCCCAAACGTGGAAACATCGACGTCTTCAAGGTGAAAATGTCACATTACAGCATTGGGACCATGAACTGAATACGCGCGTGTGGGGCCCGTTGTCGTTATATGTCGACCCGCCTGCACAGGAAAATTTCGCGTAATTTACGATTGTTGTCATATAGAATGATCGCGAATTTGGATATGACGGAAATACCTCCAAGTCCCATGGCATGCTTAACATTTACCTAGCACGTTCAGTTTCGCTGTGGCTCTGGTGTTTCTGTTGTTTGGCTTCCTTACTTTACCTAGCATAGACAATGCGTCGTAAATGCATTACCCGGATCCAGGAGGTGGGGGGCATAGGACAGCCGTTTTAGTCTCATCAGATTGCAGCTTTTGTTTGTCTTCTTCAGAACCGGTGGATGATGGTTATGATATGGTGATAAACATCCACGCTACACCCAGCGGCCTCAGCCGCTGTCACCATGATGACCTGGCGGAGGGCGAGTCCCGGGAACCGCCGTGGCTGCTGCCGGGATCTTCGGCGCACAACGCCCTGTGGGATGTCGTGGCTAGCTACCGCACACTGAACCTCGCTGCCTTCGTGGTGAACTACAGTGTCTGAATGATTTCCTGTGTTCCCAGTCGTATAGCTTTCCTACGATGTCGTCTTCTGATGCGTTAGATTTCGTTATCCAGGACATCTAGCCTATGTACGATGGACAGCTTTAGTCAAACCCGCGCATTAGCTCGACGACCTTTTGAATGAATGGATTTCTGGGATCAGTGCCCACACTAAGCTGCGATTATGTGAGCCCAGACCCTCACCATCCGATCGCGCAACTCCATGAAGCGGCGAAATTTAATGGTAAAAGCTTAACGTGCTGCAGTGCTCGGTACGGTCCGTACTGCCCTCTGACGTCAACTGATCTGTATCACGACCGCTGCCACCGACCACAGGCCATAGCTGTCAAGGGCAAATAGCGAGCGCCCTTAAGTGACTTGAACCCACCCAGCCACGGATGGGTGGATCGAAAGGCAGGCACTCTGACCATCTGAGCCACTAGGATGGATAAATTCCTGATTACTCCCATGCGAATAGGAACAGTTGTCGGTTTGGTGGTGCTGCATATACTTAAGTTGTTGCCACTTGTTACACAATTGCGGTACCGGCAGCGGTGGCACTTGCATTACGGGTAACACTGCACAGATCACAGCCAGCATGTCTAAAAGCATAATCATTGGACTTTTGTGCGTCACACTTAGTGTATGCATCACTGCAGGCACACTGGCAGCCTGGAGGTGTTTCGCGCTGCCAGCCTTGTGTACACTCCAAAGCTGAGATACTTTGCGTAAGTGCTAAATGACATGCGTTCGTTACAAAATTTTCCTTTTGGGAAAGCGCCTGGTCTAGGTTCTTCTTGACTGGTCAACCGCTACAATCGTAACGTGTCAGCGGGTTCAGCAAAGCCGCTGCTTCTGTTTACAAAGTCACGTCGTGGTTTATAATTATAAGCGTTGTTCTTATCTTGTCAGTATGCGCTTTTGCGCAGTGCTGAGCACGACAAATACATAACATATCTTGTTACAGGCCTCCCAACTTTGTTACCCGGAAGCGCGCAGCCGTGCCGGACTGGTCCACGCATCGCAGCCGATACTATGCCAGGGACGAGGAGGGCAACGTCAAGTGAGCAGTCATTCACTGCAGTGTTTGTGTCTCGCCGTGAGGTAATGCATGACGTGGTGTCACTGCCCTCCACCACCACTCAAAATGCAATGAATGCGATGTTCCTAGCGGTGAATCCCATTGGCGTTTGTCCGCCTCAGTTTGTGGGTCGTGGCACACGTGGCGCTGCGGGTGAGTGCGAACAGTTGTGTTGCTCGCTGTTTTGCCAATGGCTTGGACCGCCTGCATCTGGTGGCAGTGGCCGCTCAAGGACAGTTGATGTCAGAGGGCGGGATGGACTCTGCTAGGCAACGTGGCACATGAAGGAACACCGTGCATTCGTCTGCGAACTGTACACCCGCGATCAGACCGTGTGCTCAGGGTGATACCATGTTTTTGTTATTTTGATTAATGATGCGAGGCATTAACTCACGGGAAACGGTGTGGACAAGGCTAGAACTTTTTGTCATCTGACAGTTTGTAGTTGCTCGGCGACAAGTCATTTCTGCAATATCATGCGATGTTATGCTTGTTTTTGTTATTTGCCAGGCATCTCCTTTTTGTAGACGATTATTTAGTTAGGCTAGCTAGGCGGTAACAGAAGGCCACAGTGATGGGTGTAAATATGAATTAGTTATGACCCAACTTTGTCGCATGGTTCGAGAACGTCTCGCGTCTACAGCCGTGTCTCCGATCAGTACATCCTACGGCCGGTGAAGGCGCCGAGACCTTCCCGCACGTGCGCCCACTTCTGGAGGCCATCGTGGACAGGCGTATGCAGGTCACCATCACCGGTCCGTCGGAGCACTCCGATGTGGCACACCCGCTTGTGCAACGCGGAACCCGGGCAGACGAAAGCCGGGAGAGCCTGGCGGAGGGCCGCGCCCGGCACAGCCGTTTCAAGTAGATTTTCTGTCATTTGTCACACCATTGTCATGTCATAGCTGCTTTGCTTTGTTTTGTCATATTAGTTATCATCATTTGTCATGACTGCTAGCCCTGCTTTGCTTACCCTGGTGGACGTAATACGATGTTCATCAAGGACCGGAAGCTCCTGATGAATTGTCATATGCGGTGTGTGGGCGAGCGATAGGTCAGTTTTCATTATCGTTTGATGCGTAATCGCCGAGGATGTGTGTCTTTTTTACGTACGTTTTGTCGATTCGAAAAACAGGCTGAACAAATAACTCCACGTGGTTGTGCCTGGCCGAAAGTGATGTGCGCATCGCATCGGATGTGTTTTTGGCCCATGATACATAGGATGCAGAGGTAATACAGGAATGCACGCTTGACCAGTCTTGACTGCCCACTCCGGAGCGTCACCTCGAACAGACGCAAGCACCTAAGTGGTGCACCTGCACAAGGTGTGTATTATGATCATTGTCCACGTGGCATGTTAAGGCATATTCTGAACTGTGAATGTATTGTGTAAGTCTGTATGTGCTTCTGTTGAGTTATTCTTCTGGCCTATATAGGACATGTTCTGACCAAAAGAGGTCGCTGCTGAGTCTGTTAAGGGCCATTCTGATCTGCACAAGGCCTATTATGAACTGTAGAGACCCCATTTCTGCCTGCAGAGACCTTTTCTGATCTGTTCATGGCCCACCAGCTGCGGAGGGCCTGTTCTAGCCTGTATGGTCTATGCTGGTCTGTGAGACGTCCACTCTGCTTTAAGACTCCATTCTGGCCTTTATTGGGCCCACTCTGGCCTTAAAATGGCCCAATATAGAGAGCCCATACTGACCTGTAGAAGGTCTGTTGCTGGACCTGGTACTGCTGCAAAATCTGGCAGACAGATGCCCTGGCCCCTTGCATCATTACTGCCCACTCTTGTGTGGAAGGCGGTTGACAA